ATCGTCTGATCGCTGCGCTGGTGGCTCCGCTGAAATCATTAAGGGATTAATGAGTTGTGAAGTATCGTTGGGGGGACTGGAGGCTGACGAAAATTCTCGTATTACTGGCATTTCTAGTGTTAAGTCCAAAACCACCCGATCAAATTAATCCCGTATTGTCCAAATCCTGAAAAGAACAAGTGTCTCTCAAAAATTGCGTTCCCCCTCAAAAAAATATTTAAAAAAAGGCGTCCAAAAAAGAACTCTCATAGCTCCGCGTATTCAGTCAGTGTCCTGCACAAAACAAGAAAAAGTTCAAAATAAAAATCGTTGGTGCCCTTTATAAAATCTGCTGCAGCAGTCAAATTAAAAATGCATAGGTCTCACCGGCGTCTTTCCTCCTCCTGGCAGTGCGGGGCAATCGGCTCATCTGTCATCACCAGCCACAACCAAACTTAAACTTTTTTACTAAGAATCTCGGGGATGAGATGATCCCCATTTCACACCAATTGTCTCTCTCATCTGGAGGAGCACCGTTCACCACCTGGCCTGACACGCGCTGCCAGCATTACCTATACCCCACACCGTCAAAAATCAACACTTAAATAATCTCCCCTCCCCCCCAGTTTCCGTAAACCAGATGTTTCTCATAATGGACAATTATGTAAATTCCTACACATAAACAAAACATCATTGTTTTAATTATTAAAGATCATTTATACTTCCTTTAAAAAAAAGTGTTAGTGTCAACTCACCCTGACAACGTTACAAGTTGCAAATCATTCCCTGTTTAAAAAAATAAAAGTTATACTGAGTTAAGTCAGTCAAATTAATTGAATTGTTGATCAAGATATATTTATGCATGCAGTGGAAGTGCATATGTGAATCTTGTCTTGTACATGTGTAAACATATTTTGCATGTTTGAATCATCCTGGACATGTGTGAATCCTCCAATGCATGTCTACACCTGGTCTTGTGCATGTTTGGCTCTTGTTATTAGCATGTGTAAATCACATGTATATCTTTTGATTTTGAGACTTTTAGCTCCATACAGCCTATGGTTGAAATGGTGATGCATATGTATGATATGAGATTACAAAGAGCAAACCTGGCCTGCCGGTCTAGTTTTGAGCGGGATTTCTTCTTTCTTTTTTGTATGATTTAATTTCATTTATGCCATTTTTTTATGTGTTTCTTTTCTTTCTTGAATCACCCATGTGGCCGGAGCGATAACTCCGAACACATGGATACATAGAAAAAAATATTCGGGCAGTAAAAAAGTAGCAATCTTTGTGTCTTAAAACAATTACTGTCCTTCTTTCTTCAGGTCTCTTGTTCTTCTTGTTATGGTCTGTTACAATTCTTCCAAAGCACCACACATTTACAGTTTTAACCTCTAGGATAATGACTGTAAGAGTCATTTGTACTTGTAATTACACCCACACAGCTGCACCCTTGTTTTATGTCACACTGATGGATGCAGTGACTATAAACCTGAATTGTGGGTGTCATCTATTCTGTGTCAGCTGTGTGAAAATGAATATATGCATGTTTTCATGACTATGAAATAATCAAAAAGTTGCACATACATTATTATCCACACTCATACATAAAACGAGATTCCAATATTTGCAGCACCTGAAGTCAGACACAGATTTAATCAAGAAGGAGCAGTGGATGTTTTTAAATGTTGTTTTCATTGTGATTCAGCATTTTCATGAGCTTAAGCGTCTTCCTCCTCAAATTACACTAAATTGTTTGGAGTTGGAGTAACTCATCCTCTGCTATAAGCTTTATTCTCAGTTCTCTGACCCCCACTCCTAATAAATGCAAGTGATTTACATAAAATATTCTTAAAGAGATCCACTACTATTACCATAACGTTTCATCTCCCACCACGGCTAAACTTCAATCAGTTTTGCATTTTAAATGTATTAAATGTCTCCATAAACTCTACTTATCTCTACTCGAGTCATTTTTCTTCCTTAACGGCTTTGTGTAGAAAGGAAAACTAATATTAAAGGCATTAATTACTCTCTTCTGCTTTTTTTCCCAGCTCGTTTCCGTTTGGAAAGTTCAATCTCATCCTGTGTTTGGGCACAAATTATGTTGTTTATCAGAGCATAGAGTTGTGTCTGTCCTATAATAATCAACAGTAACAATTCCAAAGCCTTTGATGTGCATGATCACATGCAAGCAAAAAAGCAATATATTAATTTTGCACTTCAGCAAACCTACTTTCCTGGGCTGATTGGTTTAATAGAAATGAGTGTTCAGCAGCTAAACGAGCTCTTCATTTAAATGAAAGATTTTAGTCCACATTGTAACATTTTTCTCCTTATTTTTTTTAAACATCCTCCTCACATGCAGTTCAAAAACATAACACCTAATGCAACATAGTTTTTAATACCATGCCATGTTTTAATCAACTGTTAGAGTTCAATTGCTAAACAAGCTTGTTGAATATTTGCTAACTGGGTTACTGGATGTGTATTTGTAGTTAGTTTAACTCAACAAAATGCATTTATTTGATTGACCACACGGTGTCAGCCTAGTGCTGTGTTTACTCAAGCCCAAAAGCACATTTGATAAATAAAGGCATGGTAAGTGTAACTACAATTATCTCGCTGGAGAGTAAACAAAAGCTCTCTTGTTTACGAATTTTATGGATGCCTGAAAGTAATTAATTTTGGAAACTTGGGAAATGTACTTCTCTGGTTTAGAAATACCAAGCATAGAGCATAAAAATAACAAGTTAGAATTAAACAAAATAATAGGCTTGTTTTTTAAACAACTGGAGTGCTTAGTTAAACTGCTTTAATATTGTTTAAACTTGGTATTGATTTGTACAAGCTATTTATTTCAGAGAATTCAATTATGCAGTTTACTTTTATGGTGCCAATCATTTTGTTTGCAACATTATTAAAGATCAGTTAAAGGCTTTAGAATCTTGTATTATGGTGGAGCAATCAATATATGAGCTGTATATTCAGTAGGTTGAAAACATTTTTTTTTCTTATTTACCAGTAGCTCTATTAGGCATACCTCTTCTATTATTATTCTTACACATTTTGTATTAAAAACAATTTCAACAGCCTAATGCATTCAGTGCAATTAGCCAACTAGATATGGTGAAAAAATCTTACCAAAGTTCAAACTGAGCCCAGAGTATAATGAATATAAAGGGAAATTGTTCTTTAAAACAGAATGGTTGTCGGTCCCTGACTGTCTGATCTAAAAACATGAAACTGAGGCTACATTTCATAGGGGTTCAAAAATATTAGATGATTATAGACAGGAAAAAATATCACCCGATCTTATAGGTCTAAGTTTAAGGTGCAGAATTCAGAGAATAATTTAAAAGCCTACAGTAAATGTTTGCATTAACTAAGCCCCATATCCTGCTTGTTGCTTTTTATATCAGCTTTCTTTGGGGAAAAAGGGCCTGTAGTAGCACATGATTTGATCCTAATATTAAACTCCCCCACTTTGTGTTTCCACAGCTAAATAGCTTCTTCACTATGACCAGGCAATAAGACATCTTCCAGAGGTTTTCATGCTCACCTCCAGTGTTGTGCTTTTTACTTGAAAAAGTAACTAGTTATAGTTATTTGTTACTTCTCCCAACAAAGCAACCTTCTAGTTACCAGGTGAAAATAATATGCAGTTACTTTTTATTATCTAAAGTCTTGATGAAATTACCCGACTCTCCAGTTATCAGAACTTTAGATGCAAACGTACAAATATAGAATATTTAATATGAAAAAAGGAATTACATAATGAATTAATTGATTAATGAAAGGTATTAAGAATTTCATAAGCACTTTGATCTAATCTATTGTATTTTTTTGTGATGAGTAGACTCAATTGCAATGTATTTATCCAGTTCTGATTATTATGTTTAAACTAATTAAACAAATAAGTAAACTAGATGTTTAATAACTTGATATCTGTGCACCATAACAGCATTTAACTGGCCAAAAAATATGAATAATCCTAGAAAAAACCTTTTTTAATCAATGTAATGAAAAGGAAATACACTTTGTATTAAAATCAAACGAGAGTCGCACCATTTAAAGGAACCCCATAAAACTTAAAGCCTTTATTTAGATTATTCTAAATAAAGAGCACTAAATTGCAAGTGCAATTTTCTTATGGACCGTGAAATAAGGGGGCATCTTGTACAGTAGGTGATCTACAAATATTACTGCGCAGGTGTAAGGACATGCAAGCCGGTTTGGTTGCTGCATTTTCAAAAAAGCGGACTGCAGTTTGTGAGTGACCTTAAAACTATGCTTTGTGCCCGGTTATGTTTTATTAAATAAAGGGAGGGAAAAAATTCCTTGTTGTGACAAATAGAGGATTGTCCACTTTCCCCCATCCCCTCTCAAGTACCATTCTTATTTTCAAATAAATATAGATGTTGATAAATAGATTTACATAGCACAGAATATCTCCCCATCCTCTAGCACTGTACCAGTACCTCCTTTGTGGCTACAATCTATTGACTGCAGACATTTTTGGTCTAATGTTCTTTTCAATTTCAACTGAAGCATTAAACATGTTTTTACTGCTTTCTTTTCCCATGTTTTTGTTAAGTAAAGCACATAAGTTGTCTTGTTGTTGAAATATGCAATACTAATAAACCAGTCTCTCAATGGGATGAAACAAAATGCATATATTAAAAAATATGAGGCCAATATATTTAGAATAAAAAGTAAAGGTTAGATAGACAACTTCTAATCAATTTGATTGTATGATCTGGTTTAATTGTGTCTGTAAAGTGCCTTGAGGTGACATATGCTGTAAATTGGCACTATATAAATAAACAGAATTGAATTGATGGTGTGTTTTTGATGTTAACTTTGACTAAAATCTTAGCGCGGTGTTTCCTTCACAATTTGACTTGAACAACATGAGTGAGTTCTAAAGGTGGAAAGGTGTCCAACCCAGTACTGGCAAGGTATACTCAGCTTTCTGCACAGTTGGCCTCATGCATGTTTTGTCTCTCTCGCTCCAGATGACGCAGGACAGGCTGACCGTGAAAACACAGAGGCTAAAACCTCCCAAGATCAGGGAGCCAACGAGGTATGAACCTGCACAACTGTAGGGGAAAATTCTAATCAACAACACTTTTTGCAAAGAAATGGACTAATTATGTTTATTACATTAAAAAGAAAATAATTAAATATTGAGCATTGAATTTTAATGCGTGTGCTTTCAATGCCTTTGAAAGTGTAATTTTATATTGTGATTCCTGCTGTGAGTGCTAATGACATTTGTTATTCTTGTTTTGCTGTGTTAAAGAATTCTGTTGGTGAGATGACTTCACTGGAGGACAGTGAAAAGACCAAGGAGAATCCTTGTTCTGAGACAGATATGTCCACATGCAAAGATGAAAAGGAGGAGGTCCAAAGTACAACTGCTGTAAAAGAAGAAGAGGAGAAGGAAGCTGTTCAAAATGATGAAAATACTGAAGAGAAGGCAGCTGATGTGCAAAAGGGTGAAAAGGTAGAAGAGAATAAGGCATCTGATGAGCAAAATGCTGAAATATTAGATGAGAAACCACCTGATGAGAAAAATGGTGAAAAAGTAGATGATAAACCAACTGATGTGCAAAATGGTGAAAAGGTAGATGAGAAGGCAACTAGTGAGCAAAATGAAGAAGTAGATGAGAAAGCAACTGATGAGCAAAATGGTGAAAAAGTAGATGAGAAACCAACTGATGAGAAAAATGGTGAAAAAGTAGATGATAAACTAACTGATGAGCAAAATGGTGAAAAGGTAAATGATAAGGCAACTAGTGAGCAAAATGAAGAAGTAGATGAGAAAGCAACCTATGAGCAAAATGGTGAAAAAGTAGATGAAAAGAAGGCATCTAATGAAACAAATGATGACAAAGAAAGTGAATGTTCTACAGTAAATGAGGAGAAGGTGGAGGGAAATAAAAAAGCGAAGGAGGAGGTCAGCGAAGAGAGTAAGAATGAGGTTAATAGCGAGGAGCAAGGATCTACTAGTAGTGCTGCTGGTGATATGACCCAGGACAATAAAGAGCAAAAGGAAGGTCTAACTACATCCTCTGAGGCTGAGAAAGAGCAAGACACTAATATAGATGAAGATAAGCAAGAGAAAGCTGGTGGTAATGGGGAGGAAAGCACCAATGACCACAGTAATGATGCAGACACTGGGGAGGGACAAAAAGAGGCAGAAAACAGGAACATCCCTGGTGAGACTCAGTCGGATAAAAGAGAAGGGAGCGGAATTACTAGCAGCAGCAGGGACAGTAACCAGGAGGACAATCTGATAAAAGCTAAAGATGAGGCTCCCAACAAACCAGGAAAAGAAGAAAAGATTAATGAAGTGGTGAATGTAGATAATGAAAAGGTGGAAATTCAAGCAAAACAGGAAACAAACAGTTCAGCTAGTTTTGAAGATGAAACAAAAAGAAGAGAGAAAGAAGAGGATGCTGCTAAAGACAAATAAAGACCAAAAAAAAGCATTTGTTGCCCCTTCAAAATCAACAAGACTGAAAATTAAAGAACTATGTTTTAAGGTTTTCTTAGTTTTTCCAAAAAAAAGATAGCTTGTAATTTAAGGAGTCTTTCAAAGCCTTTGACTAAGTTATACACACAAGTTTATAACCAATAAAAGCTATAGTCATATTAATTCTAATATTAAATATCCCTTTTAACTCTTAAGGTGCTTTCATATCTCATTAACCAATCTGTAGAAAATATAGATTTGATGAATATGATGATAATAAGGATGATGATGGTAACATTGTAGTGAATTTACACCTCATTAACTCTCATATGAATTTAAACAGTCAGTCTGGTTTGACATCTTGTATTAAGGCTGTATGTGAAATGTGAAATGCATATGTTCATTTATGTATTTTTTCATTATTATGGCTTTCCACTTACAGAAAAAATAAACGTCATAAATAAAAAAAAAACACAAATTTCCATTTTTTATTACTGGATTGGTTTTATTTTAGCAGGTTGACTGCTTGATCATTGAAGTTCTTCTGTGAGATTTGGGGCAATGATTTTAGTTTATGCCAGGTCATAGAATTTTAACAGCCATTTAATGCATTCTTAGAGTTTATTTTTGTTTTCTTGCATTTTTAAGTTTAAAAACATTGGCTGGTGTTTTTAAACTGTTAAGAATTTAATGCGAAGAATGAATAGGATTTTAAAGAATTAATTCATTTTTATTATCTTTGTCTATGATTTGGTTTTTAAATCTTATTTGATACATAAATTATCTTGACATTAAATTAGTAAATGTGTAGATGGTGTGAAGATAATCTTCTACAAATTGACTAGACAAAAAGTAGAATAAATTATGGTGCCTCTAAAAAGAATATTTACTTAAGGTTTAAAAATCATACTTAGGGCACACCAGATATTTAAAAGTGAACCCAAGAAATTTTTATTTGATGAAAAGGTTAAAAAGGAAAAGACAAGTCCAAATATGTAAACTTGTATTCTTGCTTTGTTCTCCTATTAGTGTTAAAATTGATTCAATTACCTTAGCTCTGCTAACCTTTCTTGTACTAAGCAACAGCAATAGCCTCCTAAGTAGCTCCATTACAATATCTTGTCGTCACAAAACTATTTTAGGTGGCTATTTAATGTAACAAAGAAATAATGGTTTATACAAAAAGTGAGAGAAAACTGCCGTTGAAAGAAATGGAAACTGTATTGAAACTACAAGAGCTCTTAAAAAAAAAACCTACATGTCCTCAACATAACCTCAACAGACACATACAGACATTAATCACCAATTAGGTGTGTTTCAGGTCACTTGGCATGTGAGTAAAAACTCTCCAACTGCCTATTTCATTCAACATTTTTTACCATAAAAGAAAGTTACATCATGCCCTTAAAAATGTCTCGAAAAAGTACTCTAATGTAAAGTATGATCTAATTGGATTTCTCTCAGCCTCGCCGCCCTCTTATTCCTTCAGCTGTTCAAATTGAGATTTATGCAGTCAGTGTGTCTCTGAGTCACCGTCCCAAGAGACAAGAGGATATTGTGTGTGAAAATGAGGGTGAGGAATAAGCGGACAGGGAAAGGAAAAAGACACACAGAGAAGCTGAGCAGGCGGAGGTGGGAGCGGGTGTGAGTTATAAGAACCAACTGGTGGAGGTGATGATGCTCACAATGCTATTTCTGGAGTCACCATCAATTCAATCTTATCACTTCCCAAGGCCACTGACTGTTAGTGTACGTGTTTTTGTGTGTTGCTGTGACTGTGTATGCCTGTGTGGGCGTGTTAATAGGACTCGGTTCAGCACTCTGCCTGATTGATGTTAATTCTGCTAGATGTAATGAAAGCTATGAGAAACACCCTTGAATGTTGGGAGGGTTCAGGGAGATGAAGACTCTTAATATAATAGTTTTCTCCATTTCTTGAAGCATATTTTAATCAAACTAACAGTACATTTAAAAGCAAATATACCTCGCTCATTAAAAAGTAATTACATGCCGGGCAGTAAAAAATACAGCTTTAATCCCAGCTACGCATCGCTCCTTTTAGGCATTTAACTTGCTGTCAATATGTAAAAAGCTCCCATTTCCATCAGCTGCCCTCTTTTCAGTCCATTTCATACCCACAGGGTCACTGTGTGCCATTGTAGTTTGGGTTCTTTGCTTCTTTTGCCTACGACCTTAAAAATGACTACATTAGTATCTCAATCTATAGTTGTACTGTATACAAAGTTCTTCCTATTCAGCTAAGGTATCCAGTTAACTAATCATATTTGATTTCTGTTGAATATATTGTTTTTGCCTTAATTCTTCATAAACAAAGCACTTTTACAGATATTTAGCCTAACAAGACCATGTTACAGGAGGTATGATAAGGAAATACGGAAAAGCAATAGATGGTTTTTATTTATCGGAGAAGCAATTAACCTGAGAAAGTCTGCAATGGCCAGCAGAGGCTGGAAAAAAAAAAAAAAAAAGACAGAAATAGAGTCCAAGATCAACTGTGAAAAGCACGAAAAGTACATTGCAACAGGGAAAAGATATGGGTAGTACTACCAATACAACTGAATATTTGTGTTTGTTGAGGTGCAAGCTAAAGCTGCTGATGGATATGTGAGTACACAATCTACCAATACTATAGTAATACTGTTCCTATGGAAAAAAAACACGTATGGCATGTTATGTGTACAATCTTCCCCATTAACCAAGTTTCAAAATTTAGTTTTCCAAACAGCTGGCAGATGGTGCACAACAATGTAAATGCTGGCGATCAAAAATAATTTTTAAGGTTCAAAAAGTCAGTACAGGCAATGTTTTATTTGAGGAGGAATATATGTCTTTAGCTTTTTATTTTGGGATTTTTATAGCCATGGTACATGACTATGCCCCTTTCAATCTCTCTTTTTGATAAAGTTAAGCATTGGGTCATGCTCAGCAGGGGCGATCCTTTCAGACCCCCTGCCATCCATTGACCAAAAAGTACTGAGCCTTCAAGGCAACATTAAGGCTTCTGTACTACACAGTGTCTGACACTGTCTTTCTGTCAGTGTGTGGTAGTGTATACTAAATGTAAACTCCATGTTTAGTGTTCTAAACCTTTATAGTAGTGTTGTACGTTCAAGGAAAGATGTACTAAAGGTCAAAGGAACAATCAATATAATTTTGTTTTGTTTAAACAAAAGTATGCCTTGTAAAAATCAGGACCTTATACTGTTTAAATAGTTCAAAGTTTCTTTAGTTGACATCGTTCATTAAATATGAGGCAGTTTAAGCCGTAGACTGTATATTTATTTATGTAGCAGAAAAACTAAAAGACAAAGTTTTTCTGCTCAACAAGCCGCCTGTTAAGAAACTAATACCATTAAACTTTCCTATTTAGTACAAAATCCTTAACTAACCTCAACACTTTTTCATAAGAATGTGTTTCTGATTTCTCTTTGGTTTAATTGCATTGAATACATTCTATTCAAGAGTATGAAATAATTGACTGTAGCTTAAACAATCAGTGCACTTTTATAAGAGGATTTATGGTTTGCAGATTAAAAGGAATAAAATCATATTTACTTATTTAAGCTCTGATAAAATGTGTTATTGTTAACATTAAGTAGTTGATAAATGCAGTACACAATATCATTTGATTGTTTGACCTTAGCCTCAATGAGTTTTAAAGGGTTTTTTTGTTGTTGTTTTTTACATAGTGTTCTGTCTTTGTCAAACATCTAAGGACTTGATTGCAAGGGGTTGTACATTTTTTTTTATAAAAATTAAATTCAAATGGAGGCTACAAGGAAATGATCCAATCAGCATCTCTCTCCTTTTTACTTTCACTTGTGCATTATTTGTGATTTTCTTAACTTTCTTGCTTTCCTTTTTTTATGATGCCAAATAAATATCGGCTTTAATGAGTTTTTGTTTCCTATGCAGTTTTGTCCTCCCACACATACGATAAGCTATGGTAGGCATATCTGCTCTTCTTAGGTCTCTTTAGTTGGGGGTCATATTCACCGGTAAATGCATTATATTTCTATTTTTTTCTCTCTCCACCAGGGATTTCACATAATGATAATACTAATAAAGGGAATAAAAATTCATTAAAGATAGTCATAAAACTGCATCTAAATTTGTATTTATTTTCGTTGGTAAAATCTAGTGACTGACCCAGTATGCATCTAAAGAAGTTAAAATCTATATATAAAAAAACATTATTTAATAAATTCCAAGTTGAACTTGATATTGCCTTGATATTAAAGTGATTAATTATGAAAAAAATATGTATATCTTTTAAGTTAATCTTGGTATTTTTTTTTATGATTATAGCATTGAAAAACAGCCCTTTACAGTGTATGTACTGAGGACTCTGTTTGAAACTCCTTTTTCTGTAAATTCAAACATCTTTAAAATATGGCATTGAGACAGTCAAGCTGTAGCTTTGCCTGGGTCCTTAGAAAGCACAATTTGTTATTATTAATCTGTTCAGCTTTACTGAATGTGGGATCTGGTTTCTTTTATCTTTCTCTCAAATTTGGTAGCTAGTAGTTTAGGCCAGGTCATCGAGCAAACACATGCTATGGTCATCAACCAGGTATTGTTACACTTGACAGTCTCAGCTGCCGCCAAGTCCTTCTTAAGAAATAAAACTGGCACATCTAAAAATGGAAAATATGAAGCAATCTAAGATTTTCTGTTCTGTTAAACAGCTACACTAATTTTGTAATCATCACCGGCCGTGGAAACTCTTCGCTTTAAGGTAAGGAAGTGGAATACTGTGCTTCAAAGCTCCTTTGCCTAAGCAGTGCACTTTAAATGTCTTTTTTCTTTTTTATCAAACGAGGCTAAAAGCCAGGATTGTGATAATCATAGACCATGTACTCGATGTATCTGTGTGGCATTGTTTGCCAATGTCCAAAAACATTAGAATGTACTTTTCTCCTAATATTTGCAACTTACTGTACCCTTCTATTGTAGGGAGTCAATAATAAAGTCAAATCAGCACTACTGCATATGAAAGTGTTCACAAAGGTTTCTGTTTTAATTATTTTTTATTGGTGTTAGGTAATCTTCAAATATCCATGAGAAATTGGATTTTAGGTTTGCAAAAACTAGTACACATCTTAAAAACTAAAAGGAATATGTGACCGATATCACCCTGTGTATAATTAATTTATTTCTCATATATACTTTACTGAACTTCATGACATAAATCAACTTTTCTGAAGGTTTTTAAATTTAGTGACATATATTTATAAATGTACTTGCAGATACAAATTGCACACCCTTTTGAGGGGCAGAATGTGATTTTATTGTGTATTTTGAAATGTAAGCATACTGTACAGTACAAACAGTGATGTACCTTGTTTGAATCCAGTAGGTGTCATTTTTATTATTGACTGGGGTAGTGACTCTTACATTTGTATGGATGTTTCTATTTAAAGGTAAATAAACGAAAATAACATTTCAGAATAAAAATAAAGATAATAACACATCTTTTGGTTTTAAAATGTTAAATTAACATAAAACAGCAAATCAGTTCATAATCAGTACAGTTACTGATCAGTTCTTGAGAGTGAGATCACACTGGGAAAGTTTATAAATAAATTTTTTTTAACAGCTCAA